AAGTAATGAAATAGCGGATGGATGCTGCTCTACATGAGGCATCAAATAATATACCTCCCCAAACCCTCAAGAATTTGTGTGAGAGTCTTTCTACACGGCTGAGGGAAGTGATTAAGCATAAAGGACGCAGCACCAAGTATTAAAACCTCAGTAAGTGTGCATATATATGTGTTATAATCTTTCATGGTTTGTGTTTGGTACATGTGTCGGGGAGGGGTGGCATAATGCCGTGACAAGCACTGTAACTAAGAGTAAGGTGACGAGGATATCAAATGATTTAGATAAAGAAATATTGGATATCACAGTGGAGGGAGGGAGTTTGGAAAACTTGAATGTTTTCATATATTTGGGAGTTGACTTGTCAGAGGATGGGTTTATGAAGGATGAGGTTAACCATAGAATTGATGAAGGAAAAAAGGTGAGTGGTGCATTGAGGTATCCGTGGAGACAAAAAAAAAAAAAAAACATTATCCATGGAGACAAAGAAGGGAATGTATGAGAGCTTAGTGGTACCAACACTCATATGGATGTGAAGCTTGGGTTGTGAATTCTGCAGTGTGGAGGCAGTGTCTAAGGGCAATGTTCGGTGTAAATATTATGCAGAGAATTCATAGCGTGGAAATTAGGAGTTGCTGAAGAGGGGTTATTGAGGTGGTTTATTCATTTAGAGAGATTGGAACAAAGTTGAATGACTTGGAGAGTGTATAAATCTGTATGGGGAGGAAGGCAGGGCAGGGGATGTCCTCGAGAAGGTTGGAGGGAGGGGGTCAAGGAGGTTTTGTGGGCGAGGGGCTTGTACTTCCAGCAAGCGTGCGTGAGCATGTTTGGAGTGAAAAGAAAAATTATTTTATGAAATGATAGAGAATCTTTTTTTAAGAAGGTAATGAAATCAAAAGTTTGAAATATGATGAAAAACTTATGAAATAACGCTCTTGCAAAGTTAGCAGTCTTGGCAATATTTACCCATTGGCTCACTTTGCACCCTATTTTTGGCCCATTCCATTGTTCCAATCGATCAGACTCATAGCTATTCTGTTCTATTGACTGAGTAAAAGAAACCGCCCACTTACCTATTTCAACTATTCAGTAGAATGATCAGAAATTGGTAACTTGGCCAATTTCACACAAAATTCAAAAATTCCCGTTTGACAAATAGGGTCCAGAATAAATAATGTAGACATTCCTGGCACTAAAACAACATTTTCTCTGTTTCTTAGTCATGTGTCCAGGCCCCTCTTATATTACATTTGCTTTCCACTTTGAATTTTTATTCACAAAAAGTAGAAGATTTGCTCTTATGCAGACTGCTGCATTATTTTAATAATTGTATAAATAATGTCTGTGCATCCCTAAATGCGTATTAGACTGGCCAGTGAGACGCACATTGGACAAGTGACATCATTTTTGTGTACTCTGGAATATTGGCAAAAATTGAACATGTCTGCTATTTTGAGCTCAGTTTCCAGCTACTTTCCTGAATCCAATCAAATTCATCTCTATTTCTGGCAATATAATCTTCCATTCTATCAAATGAGACCAAGAATACAACCATAATAACCATACGAAAATACACTTCAAATTTGCTTTTTTGATTAACCCTTTCAGGGTCCATGCCGTAGATCTACAACTATACGTTGAGGGCCCAAACCGTAGATCTACGCCAAAATTCTAGTGATATCAAATTTAGCGCGAGGAGGCTGGTAGGCCTACATCTGAGAGAACAGGTTTGTGTGGTGTGTGTGTGCCGTAAACAAAAATTATAGGTGCCCGCATGGCATTGTGGGAACGCCGCCTCAGTAACCTTTGTTCACCATGCCTCGCCGCAAGGCATCTCTCACTCTAAGGCGAATTGGGACTCTCTTCTTCGTAACTGATAGTTCTGACTCTGATGGAAGTGGAAATGAAGAATAATTCTATGGCTTTGATCGATTAGTGACCGAAAGCAATGACCAGGATATCGAAAATAGTGCAGAAAATCCTGACGATCCTCAACCTTCTACCTCTGGTGTGGGCACGTCTCAGTCACGTTCGGTTGTACCTCGTCGCAAGAGAAAACTAACATTTTCGTGTGGCCTGGCCTCTGACTTCAGTAATGATGATGATAGTGACATGGATTGTGATATTATTGCTCTTGACGATCATTCGAGTAATGATAGTGAGGAATCATATTCACCAGTGAAGCGTCAGTATATATGCCGTTGCATGCACTCGGGTAGTGTTCCCTATGTAGTGCTCAGAGGACGGAGTACATCCCGTGGCCCTACACCAGGAATAGACAGTGAAAGTGAGGATGATGTGGCTGCACTTGGCATGGATAGATCACAGGCATCAGTAGGTGGTGGTATTGGTGGTGATAGTGGTAGTGGTGGTGGTAGCGCCACGGCCATGCATGACTCACCAGCCCAGGCTGGGAAAAACGTCACTGACTCCTCAGCTCAGGGACAAAGCAGAGCGTCACCCACCACCCCACCACAACTACAACCAGCTTATGATATCCAGTATCCACCACCAAACTGCATTTGAGATTGGCAGCAAAATCCTAATTTTGTTCCCAAGCTCCACCAGTTTGATGACTCTCAAAGTGGAATCCTACCAACTTGTTCCCTTGGAAACACTGCAAATGAACTGGAATTCTTTGAACTATTCTTTGACCAGCCCTTGATAGAAACTATTGTCAGGGAAAGTAATAAGTATTTTGAGTACACCATGGCAAATACGATCATATCACCACAGTCAAGACTACACAGGTGGAAAGAGACAGCTGTTGCTGAAATGTATTTGCTTTTTGCAACAATAATGCTTATGCCTCATGTCTATAAGTCTAATATAAAATCATACTGGTCCACAGATCGGCTAATTTGTACCCCGGTCTTCAGTGAAATCATCCCAGACAGCAGGTTTATCTTACTGTTACATATGTTGCACTTCTCTGACAAAACCAGGCCTGACAGAAATGACAGGTTATACAAGATTAAAAATGTTTTTATGTATCTGAAACAAAAGTTCAGCATATACTTTTATCCATTCAAGAATCTTATAATTGACGAGTCTTTGATTTTGTTCAAAGGTAGACTGTCGTTCAAGCAGTATATACTGAGCAAGAGGAAACGCTTTGGTATAAAACTGTTTGTACTCTGTGACTGTGACAGTGGCCTGGTATTGGATATTATCATATACACGGGAAGTAGAACAGTGAAAGATACCAGGATGTTATTGGGTATCTCAGGTGACGTAGTGAAAAGCATGATGTCACCTTATCTTGGTAAGGGGCATACATTATATACTGATAACTGGTACATAAGCCCTTTATTCAGTGATTTCTTGCGAGTGAACATGACAGATGTGTGTGGCACAGTGCGTTCTAATTGTAAACATATGCCCAGGTTCAATGCAGGCACTCGTGCTGGTGAGGTGCAGGTGTTCACTGCCAATGACATGGCATTACGGTGGCATGACAAACGAGATGTCACATTATTGACAACCATTCACCCTAACAAAATGCAAGACAGTGGCAAAGTTGATAGTGACTAATGAACGTATTTGAAAACCAGTGACAGTGATTGATTACACACAAAACATGCGTTTGGTGATGGTGACAGTTGTGACATGCAGATTGGCTTTGTTGATTGTGTTCGTAAGAGTTACAAGTGGTACATGAAACTTTTCTTCCATCTCATGGACATTTCAATGCTCAATGCACATAATATGTACCAAATAGAAACCGTCAACAGACCACTGTATGGCGAATTTTGTTTGTCTGTTGTCGGACAACTCATAATGAAGTACCAAGTAACAACACCTGCTATACAAAACCATCCTTGAACTCCTCAGGAAATACCCAAGCGTTTGAGGAGGGAAGGTAATCACTTCATAATACAGCTTCCTGCAAGTAAAAAGAAATTTGCTCAGAAAAGATGCGTTGTCTGTGCACAAACAAAATGACGGCAACAAAGACGCAAAGACACTCAGTTTATGTGCGAGGAATGTAAGGTACCTCTGTGCATGGTGCCTTGTTTCAAGGACTTCCACAGGCTGCAGCAGTTCTAGAAACATGTCCAATGACTGTACATATGTAAATATGTAATAGAACATTAGTATTATACAACATTTGTGCATGTTTATTGTAGTAAACAATACTGGTAAACAATATTAAAATAATAACTTTAGTGTGGTTATTGTGTTCAATACAGTGAGTGTATATATATACATTATATACAGTATTGGTCTCACAGGCCACAAATGTTACTAGAAAAAGAAAAAAAATTAGAAATGAAAAGAAAAAAGTATAAAAAACATAAAATAAAGAAATGCGATTTTGCGGAAGTCGCTGATGTTGCCGCCACCCAGTCATTTTGGGTCAACTTCCCGCCTCTATATCTCGGTAAGCACTGATCAGAATTTTTGTTTTGTTTTATTAACTTCACAAAAATATTATCTTTAATTATGTAAGAAAATAATTTTTTTTTTTTTTTCAGAATTTCTTGGACACTGGGGCACCCCTTCAGATTTTGCCTTTGGACCCTGAAAGGGTTAACCCTTAAACTGTCCAAACGTAGATCTATGTTTATACCGCTAGCGCTCTGAACGTAGATCTATTTTCTACACTGCTAGCGCTCTGAGCGTAGATCTACGTTTTTTTTACATACGAAAGCATGTACATGTATAACGAAACATAGATCTACATTCGGAGCACTAGCAGTGCAAACATAGATCTACGTTTGGACAGTTGAAGGGTTAAAAAACATGGTTGCAAGTTTTTTCCTCATGCACTGGTGCTGAAGGATTGTTTTTATATGGTGCACACTTACTGCATAGACCCATTCAGATGTATCTAGGCCTAAATCTACCACTCACAGCTTATCTAAGGGAGCCGAGCTCATGACATAATATTACAGGACCGATCCTGGCTTCAAAGCCGTAGCACAACAGGACCAACACCGAAAGCCTTAACACACATTGACTTGTCATTGGTCCAAGTTGAACTGCAACATCATCATGAAACTTCTCTGTTCTATGTGCAGGTTATGTATTCTTCCAGTCACATTATTGTGCATTTATGTTCTTTTTCATTTTAATTATTGAAGATTATAGCCTCTTGTTTAATTTCAGGATGCCAGCCATCAAGAACATAAGTCTTTCTGCTGGAAGGTTTGAGGACTGGGAAGGAGCATGTTCAGGAAATATTCAGGATATGTTTAAAAAGGTAACTTTGAATAAATCATTAGCATCCAGGAGAGAAAAAATACATTGTAACCCTTGTAAGGAGGAAACATTTGTAGGTGAGATATCAGGCACTAGTAAGCCTCCACCCATAGTGCAGTCCAGTACAATATCAGCTGAGAGCCTTAGTGGGAACTGTAAACCAAATGAAGAATTCATCACACAAGTGCAAGATAATGTTGTAAAAGAGAGGTCATCCATCATTTCATGTAGCCTCAACCTTCATCAGAAGTCTGGTGCTAATGTAACTAGTTCTGAATCTCTCTATGAAGAGACCAAAAATATACATAAAATATCGAGCAATTCATTCTTTAAAAATTTCCTTTTGAAAAAACAGAAAATTGAAAATGCCTGTACAAATTTGATTAAAGAAGACAAAAAAGATCATGCTTCATTTGAAACACTTGAAGAGTGTAATAATACAGAGGAAGAAGAAGAAGCAGCATGCAGCATTAATAGTACTGAGAGTCAAGATGATAGATGTAATAAAAGCAATCTCGATCTACTTGTTAGTTTTATTGATGAAATGCAAAGCAACAGTAACGATAAAGTTATTGAAAACAAGGTGGCAGAGGTTGTGGGAACAGATGTATGCCACAGTATCAATACACAAGAAACTGCAGTTTGTGTAAGTCCAGATCTTTTTAGCTCAGAAAAGACTGATGACCTGCTTGAGGAAGTACAACCCAGAGATTGTCTTAGAAACAGTGGTGGTGCAAAAATAATCAGTTGTACAAAGAAAGCAACATTGATACCATCCTCACAAGTTGTTGCTGCTGAAACTGAGAGAAAGTTGAGCATTAATACAAATTATACTTTAACGAGTTCACTCTCCCCAAACATAAATTCACCTGGTCAGGAATTACAACAGCACATGCAGGAGACAAAGAATTGCAGTGATGTACAGAACTCCACAATTTCTGTAAAGGAACTCATTCCAGATTTGGACAGTTTTGATGATTCATTATTGCCTTTACTACCTAAGGACTTGAGACTTGAGGTAGAAAAGGAACTTACACTTCACAAAGCTAAGAGTAAGAAAATGTTTGTTAAAAAGTCTGGAATTTTAAAGTATTTTAGTGAGAGTCCTTCAAAATGCACTACAGATGTTAAAATGAATGAATACAGTGAGCCTGAAAATCGTCACCGTATCACATCGTATGGTGCTGCTAGTTCGAGCATAACTGACTGTCTCAGTAACCACAAAAATGATGTTGGAACCAAGGAGAAGTGCAAGACAGACAATTTAGTGATCTCAGAAATTGATGTCAAAAATATGGTTGAGTGTGAAGAATGTGGCTGTCATATATCTACATTTGAACTTGCAGAACACTTTGATTACCATGTGGCACTGAAGTTGCAAACTGATATGCAACAAGAGAACACGGTAGGCTCAGATAAAGCGCCAAACAAAGCTGTTATGAAAATAAAGAGAGGTAAAGGCAAGAAAAGAGGAAGAACTAGTAAGGGAGAAACATATTTGGAAAACAAAAAGATGAAAACAATTGATCTATTTTTCAGGAGATGACAAATAACTTAAGGGTTTATTAGTTACTGTCTGGATTTTGCTGAAAGTTACCTAGAAGTACCACACCTATCTTAAAAAAAAAAAAAAAAAAAAAAGTCTGATGAGTGGGTTTTATTTTTTTGTACAAATTGATCTATATTTAAAGCTTCTGTATATTTCTGACATGAAACTAAAAGTTTATGCAACCATATTTCCAAAAGTCTGTGGATATTTTGTCCATCTGGTGAATTATGCCGGAGAACCATTTGATATATTGCTAGAAAAGTGTAAATGTAATTTCTATAAGTTTATCATTCATTTTTATTATGCATCTTGCCATCTTTTTATAAGAAATTTTTTTTTTACTATATGTTTCTCAGAAAGGCAAGGTGGCCTCTTAAAAAAAAAAAATCACCATCACTCATTCCTTGATTGCCTCTCTAAACATGCATGAGTATTGTACATGTAATTCAAATCTACTAGCTGTAAGATCCTTTCTGTCTTTCAGAGTGTAGGCACTGTACTTTCCACCTTCACAATTCATCTTGCTAATAAATTTCCATGAAATTCTTAATAATGCTGTACAAATAATAATGTAATAATTTGTTTAAAATGCAGTTTGTTAAACAATTTAGAGATATTACAGTGAGGTTTATTAGAGAGTGTATAAAGCATGTTTTATTCTGACAATGTTTTGTTCATATCATTGAGTGAAACACTGTGATTAATGGCACCATCTTCCAGTCATAACAATGAGTGATGGGTCAACATGTCTAGTTATAGACATGTTGACCCAGACTTGAGCCAGAACTTGTCTGCCTAGGAATTGTGTGACTCTAATCTTATTAAACTGTAAGTTATAATAAAATAATTTCAGAACGTTTTGTTTTACAGAACCTGAGCTAGACAGATATAAGACAAATATAAATTTGATATTTGTAACATGATTTACAAATAATTGTTAAAATTAGTGTTGATTTACATTTATCAGATTTGATCTAACATGCACATGTATGCTGAATGTTCAAGCTTTTGTATCCTTCACACCATGACTTCAAGGAACATCCTCTACACATTCCTTACTCAACCCAGGTTTATGCATACCCTAGCTGTATGACCCTTATGGATTTAACACTTGGTTTTGATTATAATATACATCCTCTTGGTTAACCTATTCTACTCTATTCTAAATGACAAAACTATCTTAACTCCCCTCTCAGTTAGTCTTCTAATATTTACACCATACATTGACGTCTAACATGGTATCCATTGCCTCCACCTTCCTCACTGCAATGTGTGTAGGAACCATACATGTGTTAGCACAACTATACTCTGCTATTTCCTTTTTTATATCCATTGATAAGTTCAATTCTTAAGAGAATAATAATTCCCGAGATTCAACTAGTTTATAATTTGCTTCATCTTTCATGGACCCACTATGACAATTTTTTTTTTAACACATCAACCGATTCCCACCAAAGCAGGGTTGCCTGAAAAAGAAAAATTTTCATCATTCACTCCATCACTGTCTTGCCAGAGAGGTTCTTTACTCTACAGTTTATAAAACTGCAACATAAACACCCCTCCTTCAGAGTGCAGACACTGTACTTCCCATCTCCTGGACTCAAGTCCTGCCTGCCAGTTTCCCTGAAACCCTTCATAAATGTTACTTTGCTCACACTCCAACAGCATGTCAAGTATTAAAAACCAATTGTCTTCATTCACTCCTAACAAATACGCTCTCACATGCTTGCTGGAAGTCCAAGCCTCTTGATCAAAAACCACCTCTACCCCCTCCCTCCAACCTTTCCTAGGCCGACCCCTACCCCGCCTTCCCTACACTACAGATTAATACACTCTCGAAGTCATTCTGTTTCCTTCCATTCTCTCTACATGTAGGAAACACCTCAACAACCCTTCCTCAGCCCTCTGGACAACAACAGTTTTGGTAATCCCGCACCTCCTCTTAACTTCCAAATTATGAATTCTCTGCATTATATTCACACCACACATTGCCCTCAGACATGACATCTCCACTGCCTCCAGCCTTCTCCTCGCTGCAACGTTAATCACCCATGCTTCACACCCATATAAGAGCATTGGTAAAACTATACTCTCATACATTCCCCTCTTTGCTTCCAAGGACAAAGTTCTTTGTCTCCACACACTCCTAAGTGCACTGCTCACCCTTTTCCCCTCATCAATTCTATGATTCACCTCATCCTTCATCGAGCCATCTGATGACACATCCACTCCCAAATATCTGAATACATTCACCACCTCCATACTCTCTCCCTCCAATCTGATATCCAATCTTTCATCACTTAACCCTTTCAGGGTCGCCAGGCCCTCTCCGAGACTTGCTCTCAGGGTCGCCCAAACTTTAAAAAAAAAAATATTTTTTTCTATGAAAAGATAGAGAATCTTTTCCTGATCATAATGACACCAAAAGTATGAAATTTTATGGAAAACTTATGGAATTATGCTCTCGCGAAATTAGCAGTCTCGACGATGTTTATGCATCAGCGATTTTGCCCACTTTGAGCCCTATTTCGGCCAATTCTAGTGTACTAGTCACAAAAATCATAACTATTTCGCTAGAACTCCATTTTTTCTATTGAATGAGTACAAGAAACTACCCATTTACCAATTTCAACTATCCAATACAGTGGTCAGAATTTAGCAATTTTGCCAATTTCACACAAATTTTAAAAGATGCCAATTTCCGAATAGGGTCCAGAATAAACAAGAAAGACATTCCTGGCACTAAAATAACATTTCCTCTGTTCATTAGTCATGTCCCCACGCCCCTCTTACATTCTTTTGCTTTCCACTTTGAAATTTTGTTCTCACAAAAAATAGAAGATTTACTGTACAAATGGTATAAATAATATCAGCGCACTTGTGAAAGAATTTTAGACTCACCAGTTGATGTGTATTGGGCGCAAAGCATGATTTGTTTACTTTTGAACTTTGGTAAAAATCGAACATTTCTGCTACTTTGAGCTCAATTTCAAGGTACTTTTCATTGTAAAACCAGTCAAAATCATCTCAATTTCTGTAATATGTCTTCCATTCTATACAATGAGACCAGGAAAACTAGAATACAACAATAAATATCATACAAAAATACAGTGCAAAGTCACTGTTTTAATCCAAAAACACTGTCAAAGTTTTTTTCTCTCGTTAAGCACTGTGTACTACAGGATTTTTTTATACTGCGCACACTGACCACATAGACCCATTCTTTCACATGTAGGCCTACCAGCTTTCTCTCACTAGGTTTGAGGGCGCTAGAATTTAGGCGTACTAGTACGTCAAAAAACCCTGGTGTGTAAGCCGTACTAGTACGGCCGAAACCCTGAAAGGGTTAATCTTTTTATCCTCATAACCTTACTCTTTCCTATATTCACTTCCAATTTTCTTCTTTTACACACCCTACCAAATTCATCCACCAACCTCTGCAACTTCTCTTCAGAATCTCCCAAGAGCAGAGTGTCATCAGCAAAAAGCAACTGTGACAACTCCCACTTTGTGTTTGATTCTTTATCTTTTAACTCCACACCTCTTGCCAAGGCCCTCGCATTCACTTCTCTTACAACCCCATCTATAAATATATTAAACAACCACGGTGACATAACACATCCTTGTCTAAGGCCAACTTTTACTGGGAAATAATCTCCCTCTTTCCTACATACTCTAACCTGAGCCTCACGATCCTCATAAAAACTCTTCACTGCTTTCAGTAACCTACCTCCTATACCATACACCTGCAACATCTGCCACTTTGCCCCCATATCCACCCCATTATACACCTTTTCCAAATCCATAAATGCCACGAAAACCTCTTTATTCTTATCTAAATACTGTTCACCTATATGTTTCACTGTAAACACTTGGTCTACACATCCCCAACCTTTCCTAAAGCCTCCTTGTTCATCTGCTATCCTACTCTCCATCTTACTCTTAATTCTTTCAATAATAACTCTACCATACACTTTACCAGATATACTCAGCAGACTTATCCCCCTATAATTTTTGCACACTCTTTTGTCCCCTTTGCTTTTATACAAAGGAACTATGCATGCTCTCTGCCAATCCCTGGTACCTTACCCTCTTCCATACATTTATTAACCCTTTCAGGGTCCAGAGGCCAATTTTCAAAGTGTGCACCTGGGTCCTAGAATTTTCAAAAAATAATTTTGTTATTTTTTCTTATGAAATGGTAGGAAATCTTTTTCTGAAGGTAATAAAACAAAAAGTATGAAATTTGATGGAAAATTGACGAAATTATGCTCTCGCGAATTTTGGTGTGTCAGTGATATTTACGCATAGGTGATTTTGCTGACTTTGACTCCCATTTTAGGCCAATTACATTATTCCAGTCAACCAAAGTCTTAGCTATTTCACTAGCATTACTTCTATCGATTGAGCACAAGAAATCGCCAAGTCAACTGTTTGAACTACAAAATAAAGTGATGGGAAATTGGTAATATGGCCAATTTAATGCAGAGTTCAAAATATTCCAATTTCAAAATAGGGTCCAGAATAAACAATGCAGGCATTCCTGGCACTAAACTAACATTTTGTCTGTTCATTAGTTACATTTTCAGCCTTTACAAATGAATTCCATTTTGATTTTTTATTCACATAATGAATTTTTATTCAAACCAAAAAATAGAAGATTTACTGTTGAAATATTGTAATAATTGTATAAATAATATCACCACATTTGTGAATGTATATTAGACCCACCAGCTGGCGTGTATTAGACATGTGAGGTCATTTGTTTATTCTTGAACATTGGCAAAAATTTAACATTTCCGCTACTTTGAGCTCGGTTTCAAGCCATTTCCAGTATTAAAACCAATCAAAATCATCTCTATTTCTATAATATATATTCCATTCTATCAAATGAGACCAAGAAATTGCAAATACAACTATAAATACATATGAAAAATCACTGCAAAATCGGTTTTAATAAATTATGGTCTCAATTTTTTTTCTCTCATTATGCACTGTGTGCTGCAGGATTTGTTTTATGTGGTGCACACATACCACATAGATGTATTCTCTCACATCTAGGCCCAAATTTACCGCTCACAGCTTACCAGAGTGAGGTGAGCTCATGGCGTATATGTACGGTTTGGACCCTCAACTCAAAGCCGTAGAACTACGGCACGGATCCAGAAAGGGTTAAATAATAGCACCAACCACTCCAAAACTATATCCCCCCCCTGCTTTTAACATTTCTATCTTTATCCCATCAATCCCAGCTGCCTTACCCCCTTTCATTCTACCCACTGCCTCACGAACTTCCTCCACACTCACAACCAGCTCTTCCTCACTCCTACAAGATAGTATTCCTCCTTGCCCTATACACGAAATCACAGCTTCTCAATCTTCATCAACATTTAACAATTCCTCAAATATTCCCTCCATCTTCCCGATACTTCTGACTCTCCATTTAATAACTCTCCTCTCCTATTTTTAACTGACAAATCCATTTGTTCTTTAGGCTTCCTCAGCCTGTTAATCTCACTCCAAAACTTTTTCTTATTTTCAACAAAATTTGTTGGTAACATCTCACCCACTCTCTCATTTGCTCTTTTTACATTGCTTCACCACTCTCTTAACCTCTATTTTTCTCTCCATATACTCTTCCCTCCTTGCATCACTTCTACTTTGTAAAAACCTCTGATATGCTAACTTTTTCTCCCTTCTACTCTTTTATCATTCCACCAATCAC